TTACTAATCAATAACAAACGTAACTCACACATGTTCAAATGCTAAATTTACACGTGTTTAACCATGAAATCGATGAATTATTACTATTTTTAAATCCAAATCCACAAATAAAACGTTATAATATATAAAATATACTTCGACTGATATAAAAATAATAAAAATCTTACCCGTTCGCCTTCTTTAATTTTAAATAATTATTATACACTTCCTTCTATAAATTATATTAACGAAATCAGCTGCTACATAAACATTACAAACCCTCACACCCTCTGGTGAAAAATAGATTCTTCCATATATTTTTTTAATAATAAAATTTAAATTATAATAACGAATAAAAATATTAATTAAAATAAATAAATTATTAATATATAAATTTTATAACGCGATATAAAAATTTAAGTAATTTATCAGTGACGTCGTTGTAAGTTTTATGAAATTTTCAAAATGGCGGAAACAGCTGAATCGTCTGTTCTGTGAGTTTATATATTTTTTTACGAAAATTCGAATAAAAACGATTTAATTGATTATTATTTTATTATTTTTTCGTTTATAAGTGGTTTTAGAAGCATTTTAATGTTTTAAATATCAAGTATTTTGTTTAAAATGGATATTATTTTCTAAAATTTAAATTTGTTCAAGTAGAATATTTTTTAATAAATTACAAAAAAATTCATTCATAAAATACTCAAAAATAATTCACAAAGGTTAAAATTAACTTATTTCTTTAAGATTTCTCTAATATGACATGAACAGTGGTGGTTACTTTTAGGTACTTGGTTCATATATAAGTAAATGACCTAAAGGTAACTTGTACCAATTGAATTTACAACTTAAATTCATTGTTTTTTTAAATTTGCAGAATATTAGAAGCTGTGTTGTTTCTGTGTTGGTAAAAAGGTAAAAATGCAGCTTTGAATGAGGCAGTTCGGACCTTATCAGAGCTGTGGGCTGTATTTATAGGAGCGAAAAGGTCGGAAGGAACCGATGGTCTATGGGTGTGTTTCCTTGTTGAGCAGCTAAGCAAGCCAATGACGTAGTTCATTTTTATACAAAATTATCTACGTTATTGGTTTGCTTCAGCTCGACTGACCATCGATTTGTCCTTAGTACATGACCTTACTCCAATATATTGACCACACGCTGCCTCGTCTTCCAGAAAGCACACAGCAGTGCTAGAGACATACATTTGCCAAACAGGCTGCTTTCAGTAGCCACTAGATGGCGCTTTCTTGGAGAAAATAGCTTACATGGCTGAAATCTTCATATGAATTAGACAGAAAGAAAGAATTGGTTTGCTTACTTAGCTGCTTAACAAGGAGACACTCTATATCTAAACCTTCATGACATAACCCCATGAAATTGGCCTGTATGGAATTTTGAAGATCCTCAATAATAGGTTAAAATTTAAAAGTGAAAAATCTGGAACTATTTCTCAAAACAGTGCTATAATTTGATGGTTTTTCACTTTACTAGAGATAGTTATAAGCTGGTAAAACACAAGAAATGCCATTGTGTTGACTACTTGTGGAGTATGGTTAGAGTCATGTTGCATGATTCTTGAAGCATGTGTGTTTAACAAGCAGATTTCAGAAGGGTTACATGTAAAACCATTGGTTCCTTTGACGTTTCTTACTCATATGGGCATGGTCTACAGCTCTAATAACATCCCAACTACCTCATTTAGAGCTGTAAGTTTTACTGATATGGCTAGCAATTTGAACATGCCTGTGCTTACTTAAGTATCAAACTGTAAACTAAATTAAATTTAAGTTGTTTTTCTGGCTATTAAAGTGACGGAGAGAAAGTATTGTAATTGATCAAATTTTGACCTTCTAGGTTGTTAAGGTCCTGATTGCAAATTCTGTTAATAAAAAAAAAGGGGGAAGTTTCCATTTTTTTAATTTTAGTTCTTGTACTGTATGAATGTGTACACTGGCCTATTTTGTCAGGATCCCATGGACTAAAAATTTTGGAATTTGGCAGGCGTATTTCTTTATGTATGAGACATTGAAGCAGGTGATATAAGTTGAGATGTGCAGAGAGAGGTGGAGGTCATATCTTGAATGGGGTCAGACTTAATGAAAATGTAACTTATTATTGGCATTTAAAATTTTATAAAAATTCACTTTCTACTTACAGAATAAGGCTTTTGCGTTTTTTGCCCCAATTTTTAGAAATTATAACTTAAGTTGTTGGATTTCCTTGCTGGTCTCCTTATCAACCTGTTTGATTACTAGTAATGTCATGCAGAAACCCTTTCCAGCTTTTTTGACAATGTTAAAAGTAAAGAATTGTATCAAATTAATTAAAAATCTACTAATGTGAGGTAGATAATAAGGACTTATTACACCACTTATCTACCTCACATTAGTAGATATTTAATTATACCAAGGGCTAAAAGCAATTTCTTTATATTAAAGAATTGTATCTTTAATTTAACTTAAACTTTAATTTAGTTTATAGTTTGATACTTAGTAAGTATAAACACATTAAATTTGTCATTTTGTCTTGCTTTACTGAATGATGATTTTATCAATAACCTTACAATGTTAAAGGTTATTGAACAAATCAAGATTATTTAGTAAATAAAGACGTAGCCAAACAAGAACAACCCAAAACATCTGAAGTAGCTTCAAAGGCATTTATGAAAAATAAATAAGACTTTAGTAAATTCACTTTATATCAGACTTGTCAGTTATTGATTATCGTTAGTGAATGAAAACATTATGCATAATGTAAATTAAGATATATATGACAATTTCAATATAACTATTTATTTACTTGATATCAATGTATAATGTAAACTTTTTTCTGAATTTATTGAAAGTCATGGTTTTTCTATGATGATAAAAATATTTAACTTGATGCTTATTTAATAAATGGAGTGTATCTGTATTTACTATCAAACTAAACTAAATTACCATATTTTTTTGATTAAATCCAAGAGAATTTATTTTTAAACTGTGTCCCCCCCCTGGGTTTACTTGAAGATCTGGGTTTTTGAGGGAAGGATTTATTACCTTGCGACAGGAGATGAGTAGTAAATTTGAATTCTTTAATTGTACATTTTCTGAACTATTAAAACTATTTATTGACTGTATTTATGGATTATGGCTATAACATTTGAAATAATTACTGTTTTTATGGTTAACTCAATTCAGCATCTTCCAATTTGGCTATGTTGCCATTCATGTCTACTTCAATGTCATTATAGGAATCAAAATCTTTACAACTATCTTCCAGTTTAAACTAGAGTTTTTCCTAATTACCTTTTGGCTGATAATCTCTTCACTTATGAACTGGATTGCAAATTTCTCCCACTCAATATTTGACAATATTTATATCATTATTTCAAAAAATGCTTCTNTATTTAGAGGTAAAGAGTGATATTTGTAAAGCAATGGAACTTGGATCATGCACTGCAAGAGAAAATTTTAGAAAAGGGTAAATTTAGTTTTTCATTTTATAATCTTGAATATGTGAAGCTTTATATTTTTACTATCAATTGTTTAAAGAATCCTAATGCAATTTGATGTAAAGTATTTGAAACACGGAATATATAACATAAGTCTTCAGCTATTTTTAATTATGTGAATTGTATTATACCAAATTTAATGTTGTTTGTAATAATAAATACATATCACATAATTTTACTTTTTGAAATAATTGGTTGAACAGACCACATATTACTATTTGAAGAATCCACTGCAATGAAAGTTTATCCATTACATTGTAACCATCTGCAAACCTCCACTTTGACAGCGTCATTGTCCTCGAACCTAATATCCTATAATGGATCAAACATATAATGTCCAGCAGGATGAAGTTAGGGCTGTAGGGAATTATCCTTTATAAAGCCCTGACTCCATTCTGTATCAGTGCCTGAGACAACATCTTTCCATCCATCTTTTCAATTGTGTATTTTATATGGCCTGTTGTGTGAGGATGTGTATTGTCATATTGAAAGATGATGGTGCATTTGTTTTGATCTCATTATGTTCAGTTTCTTCAACAACTGCATAACACAAGAGAATAGAATAGTTTTGCCTTTAGGAAGAAAATTAATTAACATGCATTCTGTCATCACAGAAGTGTTCCCATGACTTTACCAGTCAAAGGAATTGTTTTTTGCTTTTTTAGTCTGGCTAAGTCTGTGTATCACCATTATGTACTCTGGTGTTTCATTTCCAGATTAAAGTGATGGAACTAAGACTCATTACCAGTCACAATATTATTCAGAAATATGCTTTGTCAGTTTTACAGCTCTGCTAATAATTTATCACAGATTCAGATGTGTTTGTATTCTACTTTCGGATGATATGGAAACCATGGGGAACAAATGTTATGATACCTTTTATTGCCTATCAATGTCTCTATGGCACTGTGTCTTATGCATAATTGCAGTATTATTTTCCTTGCAATTATTTGTTAATCCTCTCAGATAAGTACCTCATTATTACACTTGGCAGCTGTTCTTGGTCTGCCTACTTTGAGCTTGTCAGTAATGTTGCTCTTTTTATTTCTAAAATGCTTCATCCATCGTTTTTGCTTTGCTGGAACTTGTGTACATATTGCCATGCACATTCTGTAGACATTGACAAATTCTGTTGCAGGTGAAAATATAAACACTTCTCAAAAGTGAAATTGCAACACCACAAAGGAATGCACATAGCCATGTGCAAATTGTAGGACATGTATAAATGACAAAGATATGCAAATGATTAAGTTTGTGTACACATTGGGTCAAGCAGTATCAAGTTTTAAGCTCTAAAGACCAGCAGCTGGCTTGGGCCATACATGCTATCAACAATGGTTCAAAGCAGCCAAAGTTTTGAAGAAGTATGGAAAATTCCTCAGAGACGACAACAAGCAGAATATCATCAGTTAATGGCTGAGGAATGATATCATATCCTGGAGCTGTGTGACCTTGGTTTGTCAATTCTTGCAGTTGCCATGTGTGTTGGGCATGACATGAGTATCATCCAGCAATGTGTGACACAATGGATGCAGGAACATCTGCAAACATGCTGAAGAGGGAGTGGATCATGCTGGAACTCTCACCCATCAAACAGCTGTGGAACCTCATTCAATGTGATGTCCATTGGGGACCACCACCAAATACCAAGTGTTTTATAATAATGCTTGCTTACGTAAATAATCACTAATATCTGTTAATATTTTCAATTTATAGTATGTCTTAGAAGTATAACTTTTTATAATGAATAGACATAAGGAAGCTCAATAACAGAAAAATAAATTATAAATAAATCTATAAATTTGTATCAATTGACAATATTATCAATTATATTTGTGGACAAAACCTGAAAGTTTTTACTTTTCTATAATTTATGTATATGCAAATTTATCAAATTTGGATATATATAATTAACTAATATTGACTTTAATGTAGCCAAAAAAAACCTAATCTATTAATTTAGGTTTAAATTTTCTTCACTATAATTTACAATTCTCTTGCAACTCTACATCCTTATTATTTATTTGTGTGTATTTACATTTATATTACAGTTTATTTATGGCTGTATATAATACGCCAGTATTTTTAATATGGTTTACCTATTATATAATGTATTTTATTGGGATTATCATTTTAATTGTTAATGAGGGGTGGAGATCAATTGTCATTTGACATTTCATCCTGTGTACATAATAAATAAATAAATAAATCCTCATGTATTCAATAGTAACTTTAGGCTGGAAATAGAAACTTTTTTTTTTCTTTTCTGTTATACATTTTAGCATTTATTAATAGTTCTAAAATGTTGCTGTTCTTGGTGATGTGGCTTTGTAATATGATGCCTTTTGATCATTGTTATTCTACTTTTCTCTCACAGATAGTACCAGTTACAAGATATTTCTTTGTCTGTGGTATCCTTATTTGCATAGTGAAAAAGTTATAATAAAAATGACTTGTGATTACTTAACTAATACTGATCTCTCTCTGAAGCAATAATTTTCCATTATCTTTGTTTAGTTTCCATAAAAAATGAACTTACATAAATATTCTTAAAAGTGCTTAAAGATGCTAATTTTTTGTATTTACAGTTTGCTTTAATCACAATCATATGGAGTTTTCTTAGATCTTGATGAATATGCTAATTTTTTGTATTTACAGTTTGCTTTAATCACAATCATATGGAGTTTTTTTAGATCTTGATGAATATACTATCATCTTACTAGAANCCTCATAGAATAAATAAAATGAAAAAAGAAAACTTAGAAATAAGCATCAGAAATTTTTTTATATGCAGTGTTTCTAGCCCAACTTACTACTATTTTTAACTATATACACGATTATAATTAAACTGTTTGCTGAGAACAAATAATGTAGGTTTTAAACTATGAAAACGATGCTAAGGAAATTAGAAAATGTTTCTTATAAAATAAATTTCTGACTTTTGTACTTAAATCTGTATTGATTTCATTTGGATTAAAGTTTTTAGAATGGTTATTCATTGCTCCATGAAATGTATAAAATGTATTCTTTAAAAAAATTTTTCTAGTGTATCACAAAGAAAAACATTGCCTATTTGTAAGTTTGCAAGTCATTCAACAATACAGCAGGCAAGTTTTGGAAGAATCCTAGCTTTGTGTCAGTGATCTCTGACATAAATAAAATCTGCTCAAAGTCAAAAGATTTGGAAGAATATTCTAAAACAGTTTTTAAAATGAGTGTATTTCCTCTACAATAAGGTAGAATAAAAATGCCTATATGACATAAGATGTATTACTGACATAGTTATTCACTGACATATACTTGGGCATGTAATCAATGTTCTATGATATATTTTAACAAACTAAAAGTATGTACTAAATCTATATAAAATATAGATTATAAGATTCCTTCAGTGAACAAAGTGGAACTTTAAAACAGGACCACTATCTGATGGTGTCTTAGGTAACACTATATGGAAAAGTGTTGACAAGAATATTGTATTAAGGATTACAGTACTCTTAAATCTATAGTTTGTTTTGAGATTTTTATTACTAGAACAATATTGGTTATCTCTGTCAGATAAAATCTTACCCAACTTAATAATTTATTTAATTATTCCATTTTGAAAATTTATGAAATAGTATTAGTGATGATTAACTAGACATTTCCAGTACATATAAATCATATTATTGTGTATTCTTGTATTCTCTTGTTATACTCAATGATTATTACATCTTTGATATCATCATTATTCATTTCCTTTGGTAATAACATGAAGTGTGTTACTGATACTGTAATATATATATATATATATTTTTTTAATATATGATTGCAATCTGATAATTACCAATTNAACGTTTCGTCACCAAAATTTAATAGCATCAATGCCCCTTATACACAACTACAATATGTCTACTGTACCAAATTTTGTTCCTTAATCTTCACCCCATCCTAAGATATTAAATGAAATAGACACCAACACACACACACAAAGAACTTTTGTTCTTTTTTTCTCTTTCTTTCACTTTTTTGGGTTCAGGGAGTCTCAAGATGTGGCAATTTGCAAAAAACTCTGAAGGTAAAATTTGACATGATTCCATTACTTTCCCTTGTTATGTATAAATAGCCAAGAAAGTAAAAACAGATCAATTGCAGATTTAAATATGCTGTATTTCCTCAATTAAATCCTGGGGGGAACTTTTAAAGTATACATATTTCTAGGTTTATTTAAAATCTGGCAAAACCCTGGATCTTTATCTTATAACAGGATGCAAATGGATAAAAATTGAAAAAATACCTTACTTACTCATACATTTTCTAAATTATCTAAATCATTTATTGACTATTTATATGCACAGCTACATCTACATCATCATTCACACTAAAGCTACAACCTTCAAAATAATTATTATAGTTAACCTGATTCAGCATCTTACAATTTAGTTATTATGTTGTCATTCATGTCTGCTTTGATGGTGTGGAAATCAAGATCTTGATTACCATCTTCCAGTTCAAATTCACCATATCCATGAAAAGAGATGGCGAGTTTGAACCAGAGTTTTCTGAATTATCTTTTGGCTGATAAGCAATTGTCTTACAAACTCAACTGAAATTTACCCACACTGAATATTTGACAATATTTATATTTTTAATTAAAAAAAAATGTTTCAATGAACTTTGGAATGGAAAGTGCTGTCTGATTCTAGACAATTTGAAGAGGAGGTAGAATTTAAGGTTAAACTCCCTGCTTACCACTCTAAACTATTTACCCTACACAATGCAGTATTTGAAATGTTTCCTATTCTTTTCAATCCAGGATTTATTTTTAACAGAACCTTCATTCCCTGGGAGTTATTTGATTCCTAGAGTTTAATTGAGAAAATAGAGTATATTTTGTTCATTTTTAAGATCTTTATGAATCATCAACATATTAAAATTTTCTTTTTATATTTTTGTCTATCTATTTATTTGGGTTTATAAGTATTTAAACTATTTGCAAAAATTTTATTTTTTATACTGTTTTACTGTGACAAACAAAAATGAATGAATGTATGTATGTATGTATGTATGTATGTATGTATGTATGTATGTATGTATATGTCAACTTTGTTTCCCAGATTTTTCCCAAAATGTTGTGTGACAGTTGACAATGCAGTTTTATGATTGCAATTTGTGGTTGACAGTGAAAGATCCTACATTGAGCACATTCTTCTAATAAAATTTTGTCCACTTCTCTTATAATTATCATTTTTGCAGCACCACATTTTCCTAATGATAAAAATTTCAACTAATTTTTTCCCCCTAAATCTCATCCCATGATCTGCATTGCAGGTTGAGTTTCATTTAATGTGGTTCAGTAGAGTCAGCTCCATTCATGTCTGAGTACCATCAGTTTAATTCTAACCACTCTGTACTACTCAGTCTAAAGCAATGAATTAATTAATTTGTAGAAAATCATTTTTGTTATATGAACATCCGATATACATTCCAATATACAGTGTGGGAAAAAAAACTTATTTATAAGAAACAGATTTGGTGATGCTGGCAAAGAATTTAAATCATATCCCTCAAGTCCATTATAAGTAATTGTTCATGATTTAATTATTTCTTATAATGTGTAATATTATAGCAAGAAGAATAGCCAGCTGACAGAATTGTCATGTTTACACATTTGCAAGTAAACTTTTTGTTTGATCATATGTATGCTTGTTATAATCAATGTTACATAGAATCATCATACAAAACTCCTCTCAGTTTAATAAATTGCTTATATGTAGTAGTTAATATCAATTTTTAGCAGAGAATCAACTATTGAATTGGTTTTAAAATATCTATAAAATAGAAAAGATATACCCAGTATGCAAACTAATTACATTTAGTAATAAAAGATAAATATATAAAAGCAATATTTTGAAATATAGAAAAGTAAATATATATGTATCTTTTTATTAATTATCTATAAAACAAAAATAAATTAATTAGAATATTGAAATACAGTATAATTAAAATAATGAATCAAACCAAATACATTCATTAAAAAAATGATTAATAATTACTTAGATAATATTTATTTATATAAAGCTTTAATGCTTATGAGAATATTTGTTATAAAACATGCAATATACAATTATTCCATGATTTAGAATCATTATGTATCATCTGAAATAGCAAACATATTTTATGTAGAAATTACAGTAAGAAATTACTATAAATCATATGGAATACATTGAAATTTATATTACACACAAAAAACCAACTATATTCATTAAAAAATTGTTTATAATAAATTTATACATCAAGTTTTAAATAAATAAATAAAAAATAGTTTTAAAGTGAAATAAAAGAATTTACATTTCAAAATAAACAAAAAAAATCCACGAAATTCAGATTTCAACACTCGATAAAAATTCCATCAATTCTTTTATTAAATGACTCAGTATAATTTAAAGTATTACATATCAGATATTATTATATATCAATTTAATATATAAATTATATTCATTTTATTAATTTCTACTTCCTTTTTATTATAACTTATATCAGAATAACAAGATAACTGTTCTTTTCAACACTCATTAAATATAAAATATCAATTTATTAAAGCAAATATATGCAATTATTTATGTAAGTTTGCTGTAATAAAGTTTGTATATATGTATAATAATGATGACTCTAATCATGGACATACACAGAAAATTTTCTAGGGGAGGCAATATTTAATTTCTTGCGTTTTTTTCACAAGTAGATAATAGAATACAGTATTGCATCAATACAAAAAGACAAAGTCCCATGGTCAAGGGTATATAAGGTTACATATCTCAATCACTTTTACAAATTATAATTTGTGAAATTTTTTATTTGATCCAGGAGAGGCAAGTGTCCTGTTTGTTCCATCTGAGGGTTCTCATGACTATAATCATAGGTAAAACAGGTAATTGTCTAAGGTACTACATATGGAAGGGCCCAATGAAGGAGAATTTATAAGTGCAATGACTAATGAAAAGGCAAATTTAAATGCTGAACTTAAGGAAACTATTATTTTAAATGTTTTTCACAATATAAGAAGCCTTAAAAATGATTATAGAGTAAAACTATGCAAGCTCTACAGTTGCAGGCACTAGGCAAATGTGTAATAAACTGTATACATGATCTTTAAGACACTTGTACTCATTTTTTTATGTCTAATTGAATTAAAAATGGTAACACTTTTTAATTATTAATTGTAATAAATATAAAACACTACTTAATTAAAGCAAAATTATACAATTAATTATATAATTTTACTTTAAAAATATAGTTAGAATCGTATATATACACATAAATACACTTACTAATCAATAACAAACGTAACTCACACATGTTCAAATGCTAAATTTACACGTGTTTAACCATGAAATCGATGAATTATTACTATTTTTAAATCCAAATCCACAAATAAAACGTTATAATATATAAAATATACTTCGACTGATATAAAAATAATAAAAATCTTACCCGTTCGCCTTCTTTAATTTTAAATAATTATTATACACTTCCTTCTATAAATTATATTAACGAAATCAGCTGCTACATAAACATTACAAACCCTCACACCCTCTGGTGAAAAATAGATTCTTCCATATATTTTTTTAATAATAAAATTTAAATTATAATAACGAATAAAAATATTAATTAAAATAAATAAATTATTAATATATAAATTTTATAACGCGATATAAAAATTTAAGTAATTTATCAGTGACGTCGTTGTAAGTTTTATGAAATTTTCAAAATGGCGGAAACAGCTGAATCGTCTGTTCTGTGAGTTNAACGTTTTAATTTATATTATATAAAATAGTAAGAGTAAGAATAAGTAAAATCATTATTGAAATATACTGTAAAACCTTGCTTTGTGGCCATCTTGCTTATTTAGCTATTCTTGAAATTCCCCTGTAAAACTGCACAAGTTTAATAAAAATTAAACTCTACCTTGGTGGCCTGATTTCCTTAACAAAACACAATGAACAGTAGCTAATACTCAGAACTAGTGAAGTCTTCATACTGGTTAGAAATCAAAAGTAGTTTTCCTTTTTTTTCCCTTCCCTTCACAACAATGCACTTGTCCACACCAATTGTCACAAAAATGACAGTTAAGAATGCATATTAGAAGAGCTCCTATATCCCAAGTAGCCCAGATCTCACTCCTAGCGACTTTATTCTATTTTGAGAGATGGAAAAACACCTGACTGAATGATACTTTTCATTGGTTGATGAAATGAATGGAGAAGTGACCAAATTTTTGAGTTCTCTCTAACATTCTTCAAAAAGGTGTTTGAAGATCTAGTCTACTTCTGGAGAAAGTGTGTAGAGCAAAATGGCTTGTACAATGAAAAATAAACGTATATATAATAAAGTCTTTTGTTAGAAAAACCTTTAATAGTTTTCTATTTTATCAAACACTTATTGACTTAACTACATATATTTTACATTTTGTTTCAACTTATTAAACTTTTTCCTATTATTTATCAAATCGCTTATTAGTTTTTAAATTAATTTGAATAACCAAATAGATTTTATAAATCAATACATGTAATGTAATGATAGAAGTAACTGTGCATTTTATAATTCTACTTACTTCCACCTGCTATATAAAAATTTAAAATTATATTTTCATGCAATATTGTTTCATTAATATGAATTGTGTATTTTAAATAAGATATTTTTATTCAGAATGTTTTATTGAGTATATATACAAAAGAAATTTTAAAATTAAATTATTATTTGTTATAATATTTTACCGTAATTATTGCTAGAGATAAAATAAACTTATGTTTTACTTACTTTTTCAGAGAAAGAATGTAATGAATGGATTCAAAAGTGTGAAAAAAAATTGAAAGAACAAAATGAAGCTTTGGTAAAGTACCAAATTTAAATATTTTAATTATGATTTTACTTGAAATTAATTTATAAATTGTAATGGAAATTGGAAAATATTTTAGTATATTTTGATACATATTCTTAAGAGTAGAATAATGTGCATTTAACATATTACATAACATAGTCAATTTTTGATTTTTATTATATAGGCTGCATAGTAAAGTCCTTACACATTGATTTGTGAGTGATGCACACATCACTCTCATATCAGTGTATGATATGACACACAGTAATGAATGCGGCAAAAAAGACATACAAAAATGAGAAATACATATTTTACTGTCTTTGCTTAATGTGCATTAGCATTTCACACTTTCTATTCATGCTTCTTTTGTACACAGGATGCCTTTTTATACTGAATGCTCTACAACTTTGTAATTGATGTATTTTCCATATTATGCATTGTTTTTGAGATAGGAGTGATAACTTTGAAATTTTGCTGCTAGAGGCACTGTAAATGGTCTTATCTTGTAGCATGTAGTCACTTTACTATAACTATACATTCCATTCATGACTGTAGCTATCTGCATTCATCAGTTACTTCGGTTTATAAGGACTTTATTATTTACCCTGTATATTTTTCTTATAATGACAGCATTTTGAATTCTTTGTATGTATATTTTTTATTGTAAAATAAAAAATATTAGGATTAAAAATGTGCTGTTTGTGATAAGTACATTCCTAATTATTAGAAAAGTGAATACAGTGGGACCTTGTACTTCAGATGCTTTAAAGTTCAAACTGCTTTGAAGTTTGATTGTGCAAGCAATGATAAAAAGTGCTTAAAGTGTAAATACAATCTGTTATGAGTCCAAGTCATCTCATTCTTGCATTATGCTTGTATATTTTCAGTGATTTTTTTGCTATATTTTTGATGTGTTTGGTTATGTATATTTTGCATTGTTCATCAATTTTTAATAATATCTTTCTGCAGTTTTTCTTTGCTGACAGTTTTTGGGTACCCCATATGTTTTGTATTCTTTAGTTCAAAATTTTCCCAATAGAACTTTTTAAACCACATTCGACATGTTCAAAACATTTTCTCCATTATATTATGAATTTTTGTTTACTTTTTGAATGGTACAGTAAGACCCTGCTTAATGCAGGGGATGCGTTCCTAGATGGCAAAGCGCTAAACGAAACAGCATTAAATGAGGTCATTTTAACATAGAGTAAATAGGAAAAGGGGAACATTCAACCAAAATAAACAAATTTTACTTTAATTTTAAGTTATTTTTATATTAATTAGTAAAATAATATATGTTAAATAACACAAACATATGCACAAAGAAGTGTAAAGTTCACTTTTTGTGATGAAGGTCCTAGCTTTTCTGAAATTCTTGTTTTTTGCCATAAAGTCACTTAGTTTCATTTGTCGTTTTTTTGTTTCCTAAAGCAAATGTCAGTAGCAGAAGATTGCATTCAAAACACTTCCTTTTTGCTTTTTCACTCCTTTCAAAATCTGGATNTACTTTCAGGGGGAGGTCTTATATTTCGCAATTCAGCAAAATCTGTGCTAGGTCTTATTTTCTGCGGATGTCTTATTTTCGGGGAAACATGGTAGGTAAAGGGGAACACACAACCAAAATAAACAAATTTTACTTTAATTTTAAGTTATTTTTATATTAATTAGTAAAATAATATATGTTAAATAACACAAACATATGCACAAAGAAGTGTAAAGTTCACTTTTTGTGATGAAGGTCCTAGCTTTTCTGAAATTCTTGTTTTTTGCCATAAAGTCACTTAGTTTCATTTGTCGTTTTTTTGTTTCCTAAAGCAAATGTCAGTAGCAGAAGATTGCATTCAAAACACTTCCTTTTTGCTTTTTCACTCCTTTCAAAATCTGGATCATTTGCTACAATTTGATCAACGATTTCGGTTATTGTTTCCAAATTTTTACTAAGGAAATCTGTAGAGAAATTTTTTGGGTTCTTCGTTTTCAGAATCTATTTTCCAGTTCTATACAAATTCCTTGTTCTGTNCTCCTTTCAAAATCTGGATCATTTGCTACAATTTGATCAACGATTTCGGTTATTGTTTCCAAATTTTTACTAAGGAAATCTGTAGAGAAATTTTTTGGGTTCTTCGTTTTCAGAATCTATTTTCCAGTTCTATACAAATTCCTTGTTCTGTCAGTTCTTGAAGGTCATTGTAAGGCTCTCACCAGAAATCTGCAGTAACTCCTGAATATCCTGCTTGTCTACATGTCCTAGTCCTGCTGTATCGATTAGGCTCTTCTCGTTGAGAATTCTTGGATACCTTCAGCCATAACTTCTTCCACACTTTGTTCATGCATTTATCAGTTAATTCTTGCCAAACAAAGTTGATATTGCCAATGGCATCCATGATGCTATATTTTTTTTTTTCAAAATTGTACCAAACAAACATAGATTTAAGGAAAGTATAGCACTACAACAAATTTCCACCTTTTATGGTTGGTTCGTGTTTGGGAATAATCAATGAAATGCCACAATAATTTGAATCAGTGTAAATTTTGAGCTTTTTTCAGGCTTCGAGCAGACCACTTTAAGTGGGGTCTTACTGTATTATATACTTACTGAAACTCATAAACAGAGTATCTACCCATCTGGAAAGTCAGGGATTTTCATTAGTGTTTAGAAGAAGTTATGAAAAATCAGGAAAGTTGGCAAAAAGTCAGAGAATTTGTTTCCTTGGCTATCTTGTTTATTTTGTTTGCTGACAATATGGCTGACCAAGTATAGCTATCTGCTGGCAGTAAGAAGTGGTGCAATGCACCTTACAAGCAGGGTTGCAGAGTATTATCAGGACCAAAACCTTATTTCTAAACATACACAAAAATTTTCCTAAAATTATTGCACACAAAATAAAACCATAATTTATGAACCAATTAATAATTATTACTACATAGTTTGGAAAATTTGAATTGAATCATATAAATAATTAAATAGGCCAACCATACAATTTGCCATGCAACTACAAACTGATAAGTTAACATGAAAATATTTTAGATTCTTTTAATCTAAAATATTTTTATGTTAACTTATCAGTTTGTAGTTGCATGGCAAATTGTATGGTTGGCCTATTTAATTATTTATATGATTCAATTCAAATTAAAAGATAAAATTTTTGAAAAAGTTTTAGATTAAAATTCTTTTAATCTAAAACGTTTTTAAAAATTTTATCTTTTAATTTAAGCACATTCATCATCATAGGATAGTATATACCAGGAGTGGCAAACCTATGGTTCACACACCCAAAGTGGCACATCAGAAATCATCTGGCATGCAACTTATCATGCAATTTCAGTTTATCACTTTTCTTTTTCAATCATCCATTTTGGTTTATCACTTGATCATTTTTTCTCCAACCGACTTCTTTACATTTATTCTAATTAAAACATATTCACCTCATTTCTTTGAATATCAGTATTCAAACTCAAAAACTTTGGCATGCATAAACATTTTTAAAGCTAACTAAACATTTTTGTATACTTACTATATGGCAGGCAGAATCAAAAAAGGTTCATCATCCCTGGTCTNTAAAATATTTAAGCACATTCATCATCATAGGATAGTATATATCAGGAGTGGCAAACTTACGGTGCACACACCCAAAGTGGCACATCAGAAATCATCTGACATGCAACTTATCATGCAATTTCAGTTTATCACTTTTCTTTTTCAATCATCCTTTTGGTTTATCACTTGATCATCTTTTCTCTAATCAACTTCTTTACATTTATTCTAATTAAAACATATTCACCTCATTTCTTTGAATATCAGTATTCAAACTCAAAAACTTTGGCATGCATAAACATTTTTAAAGCTAACTAAACATTTTTGTATACTTACTATATGGCAGGCAGAATCAAAAAAGGTTCATCATCCCTGGTCTATATAATTGTAAACTTGATGTAATACATTGATTAATAGAAATAAAATTGAAGTCAATGCCGTGAATTATTATTATTTTTAGCACAAACAGTGATTAACAGACTTTTTTACATCAAAAATGCAAATTTATTTATGACAATAACTTCAGAACAAATTTTTATAAGGCTCAAAAATTTCAGTTAAGGACAAACTTCCAGTAATGAACACCAAAAAATATTTTTAAATGGAAAATTTCAGATTTAGCAAGAAAATGTTCATATTATTGAAATTATTTTCCCAACATGCCATTATGTCTAATTTCTCTAAAGCACTCCTTTAAACTATTTAAGTTAAATTATGTTAACAAGTTCATAGGAAAAAATTACATACATTTATAATTTTAATGATTTTATTAAAACATTATATTTTTTTTTAAATTACATGGAATTTTAAAATAACTGGGTATGGGCTGTAATTAATATTGGCTTCCTTATGTGCTTAGCCCATCAATGGCTAAGGGGACAAAACATTGGTAGTTGGTTGCAGGTTTGGATCTCACCAATAAGCTGGTCACATGGAGTTTTCTGGAGCTTTCTTCACATATCTAACATCTAAATAGGGCCAGTTTCAAGTAGAAAATCCTTGGCAAATTATCCAAGTCTAACATTGCTTCTCCCATTGATCTATCTATCCTGAGATGTTTAATTGCTTTCCTTATCTGATATCATTGGAAACATTAAACTGAAAACATTGAAAATTTTTTCACAATGTGGGTGCTTAACAATAGAAATTTTCATATTCAAGTATTTGAGATAATTTCTATAGCAAATTTCTCAAAATATGGTCCACAGATCATTATGGATCTGCAAATGTGTTGACAGAAATTCTTGAGTTTATAAAAGAACAAGAAGTATTGTTCTTTTATAAACTCTATTGTATCAATATATTATATTGTACAAATTAAAAAAAAACTTTTTCATAATAGTTATATAGTTTAAATTAAAAATGTATAAAATCATTTAAATTAAATGAAAATGTTTAAAACAAAGACATTATTTTAAGATTTTAAGAAACACTTATTAATATTTTATATATATATAAATTAATTAAATTCTACTCTGGGGAGACTGCCAAGTTTTCTTTTATTCTTTTATTATTAAAAATTTTCTTTTATTTTGTCCACTGGAGAAACACAGGGATGCCATTGGGGTATTTTGTCCTTAAAGGCATGCAATTCTTCCAATTTATCAAAAGTTGTATTACAGTAGAGCGTCGTTTATCCAAAAGAATTTCAGTCGGCCTAAAGTATAATTTATATTTGTTTTTATATTTTTCAATGTATTTATTTCATTTGTAAAACATAAAGAAATCATTTTTAACGATACAATAGCCACAATTATTATTTTAAAAAGTTTACATTAGGCTTAACATTGACGAAAATTCAACACGAAGCGACATGCAACGGAGAAAAATTTCAACATGGGATAGGTTAATATATTTTTTCGTACATAATCGGTTATCTGAAAAATAAGTTATCCGAACAACCCCAGTCCCCAATTGATTCGGATAAACAACGCTCTTCTGTAATTTAATTTTTCTCTTACAGTTTAACTAAAGATACACTGTTCTCTAACTGCACTCAACTAATACTCACACCTTGACATAAAAACCTTTAAAAATGTGGCATTTTTATTCACTTTTCTAACGTTTTTGACCAGTTTGAATGTCCTTCCTCAGGAACAGAAAAACTGAATGATTCCGATTTCTATAACAAATTTGTTTTGGAACTTTTTAAACTTTGAATTTTCTTAGATGTCTAGCGCACAGGCTTGCACATACAGAATTACAATCTATATTGATTACTTGTATCAATATACACATAAAATTAACATAACTGCTAATATAGAGAAGGCCACCATTGTGCCTGCTTCTTTAACTGTTTATCCTTTTTTATAATAGAATATTCATATTATGCTTGCTCTCCAAGCCACTGAGACTTTACTCGAATCTCTGAAGTTTATTGCTAATCCTTCCTGGTTTGTCTTGTGTATCTGCCATTCTTCTACATATTTCAGGTGTCTCTTGTTCTGAATCTTTTGTATTATTTTAGCTCTTTCTCAATCCACTATGACTTCTGTCAGATCTTCCATAGGATATGTTGCTAGTGCGGTGATTGGCTGCTTGTTCTGCATGTTCCTTTTATGCTTTTTTAACCTTTCTTTTAATGGCCTTCCTGTGTCTCTGATGTAATATAGTACTTTTTTGTCACCTTCTGTCTTGTACTGGTATTCTACATATTCCTGGAATCAGGCTCTTGTCTGTCTTCCTTGTCTGTGCATAGCATCTAGTATACTGTTGGATTCCTTTTAAATATTTTTTTTCTATGCTGCTCCTATTTCTTTGTAAATATTGCTTAGAGATGCCATGTATTCCATTACAGTGCATTCTTTTATTATTTCTTGTTTATATTCATTATCTTCATTATCATCTAGTCTTCTTTTGTTAATAATGACTTTATTGTATTCTGGCTGACACTGCACTGCCTTGCTAGTTCTTTGATGTGATCAAATCCTTTAAATCTGTCTTGTGGTTTGCTGTAGTGTGTGTATGCTGTCTTTATAAGTGCCCGGAATGCTGCTATTTTATAGCTTGCTGGGTTGTGGGAGGCACAGTTAAAGAAGCAGGCACAATGGTGGCCTTCTCTATATTAGCAGTTGTGTTAATTTTATGTGTATATTGGTACAAGTAACCAATATAGATTGTAATTCTGTATGTACAAGCTTGCGCACTAGACATCTAAGAAAATTCAAAGTTTAAAAAGTTCCAAAACAAATGTCATTATAGAAATTGGAATCATTCGATTTTTCTGTTTCTGAGGAAGGCCATTCAAACTGGCTGAAAACATTAGAAAAGTGAATAAAAAGGCTGAATTTTTAAGGTTTTTAATGTTGACATGTGAGTAAGATACACTGTTGATAATAGAATATTAAAATTATTAGTGAAATGTCAACTTAATAAGTGGAGTGTGTCTGATAGAAATGTAAAGAATGTGCAAATATTATTTATCAGTTTTATTTTACTATACCTAAAGACCATGTACTTAAGCAGTTAAATCTTTCACAACCATATCAAATGAACTAATTTAAATTTTTACACTTGTTTTACAGTTTTAGATTTAATTAGTAAGTCAAATTTAACACACACAACTTATTTTTCTAATGCATTGTGAGATCATATTTTAAAATCACTCAAAATTAGATCTTATATATAGCGATCATATTGTGTCTTTTTTTTTTTTTTTTAATGTTCAAGGAATTATTCCAGACATTTATTGGTAGTGTGGATTAATTTTAAAATTAATATTAATTGCTTAAGTCAAGAATAATTATAAAATGCAACAGAGAGGAGAGCATTGCAAAACAGTGGGGTATTGAATTAAGTCCAAAATATAACATATGGCAATATCAATTTTTAAAACAGCTGTATTAATTATGAAGTATTATGAATTTGAGAGAAAATTCTGTAATACTTTTAATAATCTAGCATTGATTAAAAAAATTTGTTTTAATATTTTAACTCTCCAAATTCCTCACAATTACCACTTAAATTTTAGAGCAATGTAAATGAACTAATGAAAAAATGATAAATAAATAATACTATTTAAATTATAATTATTATATCATTTTTCATTTTAATAATTTTGATTGTGTAACAAAACAGTTTTTGAATTTTTTCCAGTTTATTAATATTTTATAAAGTTTGGGAAATTTATTAAGGAACAAATTTAATAAATTTATACTTTTGTACACGGGTTATACAGGATTTGTTAATGTGCCATACTGTAAGGGACAGGGAATATGTGCAAAGTTGGTCAGGGAAAATTGTGGAATTTAAAACAAATTTGAGTAGGAACATTGTTGCATAAATTGTAATTAATATGCATGATATGCTTTTTATTTGAAGACATTTTAACTTGATTCTGTAAAAGTTTAAAATAAGCCTCAAAGCGAATTTGAAGAATGAGGCACCACTGTACATTAATTTTAAATTTAATTTTCAAAATAAAAAATATCCAAATTACAGAAATATTATATGACAATATTATATAAGTAAATTATGTTTTAAGATTTAATATGATAAGAAATTTGTAAAATTTGAAACTTTTTGTTTATAATACTTCAAATGAATGGAAAAAGGTTTTAATTAAAGATATTGCTAAAATTATAAAATTTATAATATCTAAATTATTTTCCTTAATATATTTGTAAGCAATTCTAATTTCAAATTGATGGATCATAATTACTGTAAACTAATCAAGTTTAGAGTTATTAAAATCATTAATATATTTTATTAGAATCATCAAAGTCTGTAGCCTGTTTATTGTTACATAGTGATGTTAAATTGTTTTAATATTCATTGAAAATTAAAATATGAAAATCTAAAATTGCTAAATTATAGCTTTTCATATAAAAATTTACATTAATATTAATATAATCTATTTTTCTTTTTTCCATACATATATATCCAGAAAGAAAATGCATCTGAGATTTCCAATGTCAAATCAGAAGAATCAGCTTCTAAAATAAGTGATTCTACTTCAAAGTCTAAATTACGGTAAAATTATAAAAATAATTATTAAATATATTTTAAATTTACATCATATATAATAAAGAATTTTAAATATTAGAAAATTATTTCTAATCTTTATACTATTATTCCCATAATTTTCTAATAAACAGTGTGTGCATTAATATCAGTAATCAGAATTACTCTGTGCATCCATAGAGTAATATGAGTTAACCATCCCATTCACAATCTGTGAAAACATGAATCTATATATGAGCCATCCACAGGCCAAGTCAATTAACTATTTAAATCCTTGATATAGTTGTTATTATTATTATTGATACATTTTTCACGTAACTAATTTTATATATCGTTAAATTAAAGCATAACTTTAATGTAACGATATATAAAATTAGAAATAACTAGTATAAGAATACATTTTACAATGTTTATTTAAATTTAAAGTTTAAAAATAATTTATATTATCAATTTTTCTACTTTTTGTTTTTTGGAGTTAATCAATTTGGCAAGTGAGCAGATCATTCTGATGATTATAAGTTTTAAACATTAGAGAGATAGTTACGCTTGTCCTTAATTAACTAGTCTGTCTGTGGAAAGAATTGATTTGAGAGCAACTTCACACGTGATGTCGCTTCAGTTAAACCAATCAGCAGTTTTCACTTAATATATCATGCAATATGTGAATTTTATTTTATTTTCTCTCACTAGATAGTGGAATAACTTTTGCATTAATTATGTTAATTTTTTATAGCATGTATTAATTGTAAAGAAATATGCATTTAACAACTACTGTAGTGAATTTCCTCATATTCCAATACCAGAACGCGAAGCCTCCATAACACTGTTTATATTGGTAACATGTTTAACAAATGAGGAAGAAACCTGAAGTAACTTGCCACGACTAAATGATCAATGGCTGGTGCTCATTGGTTAATATTCATGTTGATTCATTCTATAGACAGACTAGACAATTAAAGAAATTGTGTAAAACAGGATCATTTCAAAATCTTACATTACAGCAAAGTAATCATTTGCTGTTTAGTGCTGCCAGCAGTTTTATTATTACAGACATAAATAAATTTTTGAATAAAAAAATTATTAAAAAAAACATAATTTAAATTAATTAATATTAATTGCAAAATATTCTTTAAGATTTTTAGTGATATAAGAATTAAAAAAATGACAATATAGGTGTGTAAACTGAGCGATTTTGGCATGCATATCTGTTATCTTTTTTAAAAATAAATTTTAGTATATACTAGTATAGATTGTTGCTCAGATTCCATGCATTTAAATTCATGTTGACATGGTGTCAATATTACAAATGTAAATGAAATAGAAGAACTTGATGAAGAGCAAAGAATTGTAGTTTATGAATTCCACAAATAACATGAGAAAAGGGAAATACAGTTATGTGTCTTGTAGATGTGGAATTGGCGTCATCGTTTTCCAGCCTTTCTATAAAGGCTGGAAAATGTCCAGGAATTGGTGAAAGAGAAAATGAGAGATAGCAAAAGGGAGTCTTTGGAAAGAGAGGCAATTGAAAAAGTTGGACAATCACTAAGAAAACTTGGAAGAAAGTTCAAAATAGCTTATCGGTATGTTGAAAACATTTTAGTTAAGGAAGACATCCTTTGGAAGCAAAAGTCAGCCAAATATACAAAAAAAAAAAAAAAAAAATCAAAATGCAAAAGACACTGGTGTGAAAAATGCACAAGAACAATTTTCAAGTTCAAATGGACAGGGCATTGTTATGGATGAAGAGTTGTATTTTACCTTTGATGAAAGTGGCTTCTTTGGGAACAATACATACTATTATAAGGATTGGATTGAGGTTAATCAACAGATAAAATTTAAACATCATGCAAAATCTCAAAAAATGTTGATTTAGGAAGCAGTTGGTCCAAAGGGAAGTTTTGAAGCATTCATACCACCTCTTGCATCTGCATCAACAAAGAAGTATATTAAGAAGGGACGGATGCTATTACTCAAGAAACCCTACTTAGTTGGCCTGTCTTCTGGCCAGACATTGCTGCACATTATGCAACAGATACAGTTTCCATGCTAGAGGATTTCTGAGTCCATTATGTCAGCAAAGAGAACAATGTTGGAAATATTTCTCAGCTTCGAAAAACTGAATAATTGTGGCACCAGCTGAAGCATCATATTGTAAAAATAAGCAAGTTTGATTTTTGAGAAGTTTTTTTTATACACACTTGTTTAGCAAAAAACCATTTAATAGAATTAAAATACTAATCTATATTATGAAAGCTTAAAATTTTTCTGTATCAAATTTGTCATTTAAAACTTTGAAGATATTTAAAAGAAATTTAATTATAACATAGATATGACTGGTATCAAACAGAAGCTTTTGTTGTAATTACCATTCTACTCAAAAATATGAAAGAAGAAGCTGTTAAAGTAGAACTAACTGAATCCACTGTAAGTATTTTTGTTTTTCATGTCAAGAGAATTGTTTTTATAAATAAATAAATTTATTTATTTTTAAAAAAATATTTTTAGTTAAGTTTTTCTGCTAAACTTCCAAGCAGTTCTGAATATAACATAGAATTGGATCTGGCATATCCCATAGTTCCTGAACGCAGTACACACAGGATTTTACCATCAAAGGTAAGAAAAACATACTCTCTATGTATTTATAAATAAAATTTAAAGATATAAAATTTATAGCCATATGAACTTTAAATTCCATTCAGTTCAAACAAAATAATATGTAAGAGTTAAATTCAAAAATAAATTATTTTTTATTTGCCAAAATCATTAACTTCCAAAGCTTTGTTTTTCCAAACACCTTTAAATGTTTGAAATAGTTTCTTCTGTTTTCATAGTAATGTAAATTCAAACTTTCCAACTAACCACAGAAACATTCAAAAACTGAAACTAAAAATCAGTTAACCTTCACATCATTTTCAAATTTTTTTTACTGAATTTCTCATAGTACAGTGAAATTTTGATTCTCCAACTAATAATATTTCAATGTTTCAACGCCACTTTTATTCCATTCATTATTACATTATTAACATCACTAACTCTCACCAACATTTATGTCACTCCTTCATATTCTTACTTTATCCTAACAATGTCTTAAATTCCTCATTACTTCTTATTTCCTTCCTATTACTAATTACAGCCCTCCAAATCTCTGAATAAATATTAGCATCTTTAATAAAAATACATAAAAGAGACTAAAAATGTCTTGGACATAGCGAAAAGTGAAGACATTTTTAGTCTCTTTTACATATTTTTATTAAAGTGTAAATTCGCCAGCCCTTTTTTACAAAAGATATATTAGCATCATTCTTATTTACAACATTGTTTATCATGCTTAATAGATAAATACAGATCTGCCATTCTCAAATTCATAAACATGTTTTTCATGTAAACTGTTCTTGCTTCATCCCATACCATACTTCCTTGTTATATACATCTTGTGCTAAACATGAGCTTACTTTGCCATTACATCTATCTTACGTTCAAATCTCTCTTAAGTTCCTCAAAGTAGATTCTATGTACAATACATTACCTCTCTCCATTCTTACCATATATACTGTTGCACATTCTCAAAAGGATCTTTCTCATTCCTCACCATATTGTGAAAACTGTTATTTTTCTTAAATACAACTCTTTCATTATACTTCTTCAAATACCTACTTAATGTAAGTTATAGGTATTTTGGCCATTGCTTTGTAATGTGTATGATTCTGCTGAAGATGGGAGGAATGCATCTCAGAAAAATTCTGGAAGTAAAATTTTTGTAGACTGAGTGAAATTTGGTGTTGTATGAGTTAATGTAGACATTGGAGTCATCCTGAATAGATTATTGTGTGTCACTTTTTATATTATTGTATATATCAAACATACATCAAAAATGGTATGAAATTTTAAAACAACTCAAAATTATAAGATTCGGTCCAAAAAATTATTCAGAATATTTTTCGTTCATTCTTTCATACAGAATTNCAATACTTTTAAAAATTTGTTTTTACTTGCAGAAAACAGCTATAACATTTATGAAATGTTGAAACAGTGTAAAGTGAAGAAGCTTTTTTCAATTCACAGTATTTTGATGGTTCAAGGCATTTTTTGAAAGCTGGGAAACAAACTCTAAGCAGAGATCTACAGACTCCTGTGAAGTATGTTGACTGAAGAACTCTAACACTGTTAGTGCCATCATTTGAGAAGAATCAAACTACAATTGATGAATTTGCTGATATGTTGAACATCTCCTGGATGGGAATGTTTTGCACAACTGTCTGCATATGAAGTGCATTTGTTCTTGATGGGTTCTCCAGCTTCTGATGCCTGAGCAAAAGCACGTTCAGATGGAAGTCTGCCAAGAGTTGCAATATCTAGTGGTTGATCTGGATAACACTTCTATAATCAGCAATCACTGATGATGAAACCTAGCTATATTGCTTTGATTCTGAGAATAAACAGGATTTGTGTGGTAATGATTTGATTGCCAAGGAGTAGTGTATCATAAAAATAATGACTAGGTTCATCATGACAAAATATTATTCACTTAAAGAATAAGATAACCACTGTCTATCAGCATTAATTAAATGATTTTTATTACTTATTCTAAAGTTTCACTTACTAATTAGTTACTTTATTCTTATGTTCCTAAATTACATTTTCTTCTTTACCTGAAGATGACATTTATAAAATGTTGAAAGTGCTTGCAATAATGACAAGTAATAAAAATTATTTAATGCTGATATACAGTAGTTATCTTGTTCTTTAAGTGAGTAGTGTACCAACATGTACTGTACCACCATATACAATAGTCTCTAGACAGAAATACTTGTCACAGTTCTTCTGTCATACATTGTTGGCTCACATCTACAGGAAACATCTCAATCTTGATGCCAATGATTGGTAGCTATACCATGACAATGTATGTCTGCATGCTGATAACATAACAACTGAGTTTTGGCCAATAAAAACATCTTATGCATCCCATACCCAATGTACAGTCCAGATCTGGCATTCTGTAATTTTTTCTCATTCCCAGCACTGAAACTAAAATTATGGGAAACACATTTCCATCCACAACAGCAATACAGTAGTTGAAATATGGGAGGTATGAAATGTATCTTATTGCTACAATGATTTATAATAACCTTATATATCAAGTGTCCAAAGTGCAGCTCATATAAAACAACTATCAAACAATTCAAAAATTTAATTTTTATACATATAGATTAAATGTAAATTTAATTAATCAATATTCAGTTAACAGAACAACTTGTGTACTAAAAATTTATTATGAATACATTTTTTGTAATTGATAGTTATAAAAATCAGATTCAAATTATTTAATTACTGTGTTTTAGGAATTTAATAGAGCAGTTTTTAGTTTTCTCTATTTTCTATTAAAGCAACTTTTTGATCTGGTGTTTCTTATCTTAGAAAGAACATTTCTATAAATTTTTCAATGAAAAATAACTTTTATTAAAATTAAAGCAAAATCAGTTAAAATGAAAAATTACATATGTAGTTCTATTATATTTTACACACTTGGACAAGCATTTTTTTTCTAAACCATCTCATGTTTATATTGTATTCGGACATGACCAAGCACTCTAAGTACTTCAACAACTCTTCAACAACGAGAACATTTATTGGTAAGTTCCTTAATACTGGATGGTTGGTCATTAGTTGCGCACTGTCCATGGAAGCTGTGGAAGCACTGCTCCCTTTATTTTCTAAAATACTGTGTAAATACATATTGTGTGATTATTTTCATAATTTTAACGTACTTTGAATTAATTAAAATTAATATTTTATTATAACCACATTGTGTATCTTATTACAAATTTTCATACTACATGTGAAAAAATGATAAGATTGCTATTGTATATTCAAATATAAATATGTATATGCATATTCTTAATATGGAAGCACAGTATTGTCGAATATGGGACAGCTTCAACAGTGAAAATATTTGAATGGTGTAAAGCAACCAGATTATACGCATTTGTGCATGTGCTTTACAGAGCACCAACCTCACGGTTTAGCTGGTGGATGCTGCACACCAAAAACTTCGTATAATGCTTTCAATGATTCTATCCAGGGCCAGCACAGCTTACCTATCATCAAATGTCACCGCATGCCACTGATGGTCATATAAGGTATTTGTCTTGCTAATTTGGACTTCTCTTAATCTGCACCAGTTTTGTTTGCTCTTTAGCAATGTTCTAGCCTTAAACAAATAAAAATGGCAGATTACTTTTTAAAAATGATAAATTTGTAACATGAATGTGCTACACATTTTAATATAAGTATATGTGCCAAATTTTCATTTAAAAGTAATGTATTTGTGCCTTTCAGGCTTCTTTTTCTGTATAAAAAGTCTAAGCATAGAACTTTAATCAGATGTAAAAGTCTAAATATGGCTGTTTTATATAAAAAAAAAGAAATAGAAATCAATAGAAATAAGTTTTGATTAGTTGCATTTGAGGAAAATGTTGGCTGTAACTCTGGAGTTTAGAGCTGCATCCACAGGTGGTAACCAGATACAGAAATAACTTCTCTGAGCAGAAAGTTTTCCAGGAATTGCAATTTCCAGGGACAAAAGGATAACCTAATAGAGATAAAAATACTGGTGATATTTACCCGGGGTAAGGACCTGGTCAGAAGAGAATTACATCTTTGTATCTTGAAATGTCATGTTTCTAAAAATTGACACTTGGGATGGCAGATGTAAGTGTGGATGAAGACACATCTACAAGTAGACATTTCACTGTCAAGTATACACTGTTGCATCAAAAGATTGTAGTTTAAGTTCTATGCAGCTAGAAAAAACCATTTCTCAAAAGGTAGCTAAATGATGAAGGGCGCTGTGGGCAAGAGAATATATGAAATGGTGTAATGAACAATGGAAAAAGGTCTTACGTTACAAATCTATATTTAGTGTTTGTTATGATAAGTTTCATTATTAATGGAGAAGTAATGGAGGGGGTTGTATTTCAGCCAGTGGCATTCACAAATTACATATATGAGAACAATAAATCATGGAACAATAAAAATCAAAGTTACATTAAAATTCTCAAAGAAATCTTGATGTTTTGTGCCAAAAAGGGACAAAACGGTTGATACTTCAATAGGCAATGCCAAGCCTCATATGGTGAAAGTAACTACTGAATGGCAAAAAACACAATGTAGATATTCTTCCTTGGCCACCTTTTATCATTGATAGAAAAATTTTTGGAGAATTTTGAAAAGAAACATGCAATGACAACATCCATACATTGATTAGAGGCTCTAATTGAGGATAAATGGGTCAAAATATCCTCAGAAACAACAGAAAGACACTATTATCACTTCCACAAAGACTCATACATATATTTAAAAATACTGATAAACACTTCATAGTAGAACATAAAAGATACCTGCCAGAGTGAGGCTGCCTGCAGTTTTTTGTATAACTTCTTTGATTCAATAGTAAAATAAACACAATTGTGAAAAAACAGTTTTTTATTTAGTCTTATTTGTAAGTTCTAGAGGCTTGAGAATTTAAATGGACTGTAATTTTTTACTTAAATGTAAAATCTTCCTATCTGGTGGAACTTAGTGGCTTAGACTTTGTATCCTGTATGACCCTGCTGGTTGAAATACTTCACTAACCTGAACTATCCCATCCAGTAATTAGTTTGTACAAGGGATGATCAAAAACTAAGGTTACAAAGCCTGCAGTGAAAAGTGTACATTTTATTTCATACAACCAATACAGCTAACTGATTAGTACATACATTAGGTTATTTTTTGACATAGTCTCCATATCAGTTTAAGCACTTGTCACTTTGTGTGATGAGTTTGAAAATTCCCTCCTGGTAAAATTCCTGACCTTGCGTGTTCAGCCAAGCTGTCGTGAAGTGTTTCACTTCCTCGTCAGAAGCGAATCATCGTCCTGCTAGGTTCTCCTTCAAGTGAGGAAACAAGTGAAAGGCGCTTGGAGCAAGGTCAGGGCTGTAGGGAGTATGGTCAATGATGTCGCAGTGAAACTGCTTCAGCAGTGTGGTGGTCTTCTGGGCTGTATGAGGTCGTGCATTGTCATGAAGGAAGATGAAGCCCTTGGTGAGAAATCCTGGCCATTTCCTCCTGATTGCTTCACGCAATCATGTTAGTCTCACAGCATAGGTCAGTGGTCACTGTGTGCCCTCTTTCCAAAAACTCCACGAGTATGACACCGCGCTGTCCCAGAACACTGTGGCCATCACCTTCACCGGATAATGTCACCTTAAACTTCTTTGTCTTTGGAGAGGAGGTATGTATCCACTCCATTGACGATTGCTTACTGCTGGGGATGTAATGGTGGATCCATGTTTCGTCACCCGTGACAATGCAGTGAAGAAAACTGTTCTGTGGAGAACCATAGCAAAAGTTGCAGACTTCCCCCATGCACTTCTCCTTGTGTTGGTTGGACAGATTTCGTGGAACCCACTTGGGCACAAACTTTCCAGTACTGCAGAATATCATGAATAATGTGATGAACACTTCTGAATGACATTCCCAATTCTACTGTCATATGTGGTAATGTAATCCTCCTGTTGTTCTGAATCAACTTCTCCATGCGAGCTGTGTTGACATCTGTTGATGCCATGCTGGGTCGGCTACTGCGATCCTTGTTGGTGACATTTTCTCTACCGGCCGCAAACTTCCAACACCATTCTGTGACATGCTGACGAGACATTACAGTCTCTCCATAAACCTCTACCAGCTGCTGATGAATTTCAGCTGTGGTTACATGTTTCGCCCACAAAAATCGAATAACTGAGCGAATTTCTTCACGAGACCAGTTTTCCAAACGAGTTGCCATTTGTGTTTACCTACAACTAGCGCTGTACGTGGCGGGTGGCTGAAACTCTGCACAGTTTTCAACAGCACATATTGGAATTATTGCATGCTTCTCATTTCTCTCTAACAATCGAAACTCCAGGAATAGTGGCCTTATAACCTTAGTTTTCGATCAACCCTTGTATTAGCATGAGTGCACTCCTTTATGTATAGCCATTTCTCTATTGTTCATTGTCTGACACAATTTATTCCTTTTTGTAGTGATCTAAATGGTATTATCAATGACTGGAAAGCAATTTTTTTTATTAATTTACTTCACATTATTTTAAATTGCAGCATTTTCTTTTGTCTTACCATCAACTATTTTTTATTAAATGTTTTAATATTATTTACTCAATATATGCGGAACTAATATTGTCTGTGTGAAGAATTATTACGAATTGCAATGAGCATTACGCCCAATACCTTTTGTAATGCAAAGAGCATTACGAAAGGGATTGGGGAGCTTCTGCCATTGTGTGTAAACAATTTAGAGCCCCTTGTAGTTTTCTAAAATAATTATCCATTGTTAATTTTATTGTTTACAATTTTAAAACATAGTTAACATTAAATTCTTTTATCATTGAAATTTATTTGTGTGAATGTAATTACTGTCATTCTGTTTAGGCCAGATGAGCCTTTCACAAAGCAAATTCAGATAGAACCATATGTAATATGAGCCACGTTTGAAAATAGACAAAGTAAAAACTTATAAAAGTCTTTATTTTTTTTTTTTTTTCAACCTGTGTGTGGCAAATATGGTGAACACATGATTTTACAAGAGCAAATATCCATGTGGAGTAAGATTTTTTGGAGGAGTTAACGTTATTGCTCTTGTATGTAGTTGTAAACTGGATGTGTGTTCTGTCAAAAATTTTTTTTTAATATGTGGCAGAAAGAAAAATACTTATAGCATAATTAGGACTTTTCTCCATTCATAAATAATGTTAAAAACAAATTGAATCGATTTAGGGTTATGCAGTCAAAAGTTTTCATTTGATAAAATATATTTATTTAATAGACTCATCAAATGTCAAGTGCGACACCAGCAAGTATCCTTCGTCACGCCCGGAAAAGAAGGACTGGGACAAAATTGTCGTAGACATCAAGAAAGAAGAAGCCGAAGAAAAATTAGAGGGAGAAGCTGCACTCAACCAGTTGTTTCAGAAAATTTACTCCGAAGGATCCGACGAAGTCAAGAAGGCCATGAACAAATCTTTTGTTAGTATATTATTTGTAAATTTACGTGATAAAAACGAAATTAATTTGCAAATTTTAATGCAGATGGAGTCTAGCGGAACAGTCTTGAGTACGAATTGGAACGAAGTGTCTGAGAAGAGAGTGGAAGTCAAGCCACCAGACGGAATGGAGTGGAAGAAGTGGAATTAACATTATAAAATAATTATAAAGAATATATATATTTTGTGATTTAAATAATTAAATTATGAGCAGCTTTTTATTTACGGATTGTTAATTCATTTTTGAACCAAATTCATAATTTTGAAATTCATATCATTGTACAGCATATTTCAGTGGATAACAACAATCATAAATTAAAATTACAAATTTATGATTCAATTTATTATTATTTTTTTTTTTTTTTATATTAAACAAAACTGTAGATAAAAGTAACTAATGTAAATATTTTAAATATTCTTTCAATTCTAACAATTTTGTTATTTTTTTAAAGATTGAATTTGTTTAACATGCCGGTGGCAGAAGGAGTAACCGGTGAATACGAGAGTAACTCTTTGCAAATCTCCAGAACTCCAAACTGGTATATTTTTAAAAATTACTTTGTTGTTAGTGTCGATAGTAAATACAGAGTCTTTCTAAATGACATATTTCGTAACCAGGAGTTAACATCTTTATTTTGCAATGTATTCATGTAATAATTATTTCCTTCTATATTTTCTCCACATTGATGGCCATATCTGCCGCATGGCAGCTTCGAATGTGGATTTCAGTTCCCATGCAGATCGAAAGGGAGAAATCTAGATGGTGTCCTTTGCATATCCTTGTGGAAAAAATGTACATGATGCATTTCTTGAACTCCATCTATTGTTCGCCCACCTATGCCTTACATCCTTATCCAGGTCGACAGTACATTACACATTTGTTCACAGAAAATTGTTTTAACCCCTCTCTGATTGTTTTTGAATCCAGAAGGATGCTGCCGACAAATTTTAACCAAAAATTGTGGGCAGCATCCATCATCAATTCTGATTTGGTACATTCAGAAGTCTGACAGAGTACATTCCGAACCTGAGAATGGAGTCGATTTTTAAAAGCACTTTTTACAGCCGTTAGATTGTAGACAAGTACTCAAAGAAAGACCCAAATATCGAGAAACTTGCTGATCTTGGATACTATGGAACTAATTTAGGAAAACTCTGTATTTAGATTGTTGTTATTCATTTCTATATTCATTCTTTAAAATATACTATTTACATCTTCTAAAGACAGTGTGCAAATTAATTACAATGACATAGTTTGCATGCTTTAGAAATAGGTAATCCATTAGACCATCTGTACAAAAATGTAACTTTTAATTTCTTTTGCTGCCAACACATCGCTAATCACTTATAATACAATATTTAGTTTTAGCATTTCTTTTCATATTTCTAAAATTAAATATAAATTAATTTTAGAATAATGCGTAATGTGGAGTGATTGGCATAACAGTTTCAGCAAAGTCAAAACAAATTTTAACCTGTTGCAACAACTCAAAAAACATTACTTCACTGGCATTGTTATGCTAATTATTTTACATTGCACTCTACGATAATGCAAAATGGATTTTGTTGAATTTTGACATTTGACATTAAAGAGTATGGGGCTGGGGACTCATGAAAGAGTATGGGGACATCTTTGCTCTCTCTCTAATTTACGCATTGTGTGAAATTCTGCCATTTTGCATTATTTTCGAAAGAATAGTCTATCGCACATTTTCTCATTTTAATAAATAATTTTTGCTTGTGATCAGAGGAGCTTTTTTCATCTCTTCTGTTTCAAAAAATTAAGAGTTTATGAATACTAATTTAACGGCGAGAGAGACGAATGTCTTGCTTTCTCGGCAGTTGACGGTATTCTATATAAAATTCTATCCTTTGCATTTTAAGACTCTCAAAGAACAAATTGTCTTTGGTTGTTTCATTTTTAAAACATTACTGCTTGTGCAGAAAATTTCATTTACTAAACAAATGTCATACACAATTAAAAATTTATTTTAATTACCATGATGGGTCCTCAAAATACGGAATTGTACCGGATCTAAATCACAGTTTGCCCACAAATTCTGTGCATAAATTGGAACAAACACTATTTTTGTTGCAACTTATGTACAAAATTTGTAGGAAAAGTAAATTTTCTCCATTTATCCACAAAAATGTTTTACAATCAAAGGCACTGTCACAAATTAAGTGTCAAATTGTCGGTACATAAAGTTTCCAACAACTATATACTCATATTGCCAAATAATACAAAAGTTGCATTAATTCTGTACATTGTCAGAAAGAATTAATACAATTAATTCTTTCTGACAATGTACTGTCGGCTTGGATACAGAAATTTTATTATTTTCTTACTTGTATTGCAACATCAAATCCTTTTCTGCTTCCTCTATCCAGAGAATTTCCTATTCTCAATTTCAACTAAAGATAATTTCTTTTCTGGTCGCAAGCATAATAATCTGTGAGTGGTAGCATTACTTTTTCTTATCATTCTACTCTGTCATTGTGCATATATATATTTGTATCGGGTAATTCCGTTCTCGTGTATCTTCTACTGGAGATTTGACAACGGATACCTCATCGTTTCCCACAATATGACACTGCATTATTTAAAATACTTATGTATTTTGTACGATGGATTTCGACACTTAACTAATTTGGATTTTATACGATCTGTAATTAAGTGTTGCCAAATAAAGCATTTTTGTTTTTTGCTACCTAAGCGTCTAGGCTCGGCTTCATTTCTTACACGGTTTCACGAACCGTAATATGACGGTACGGAATGCCAAATGGGAATTCGGCAACACGACGGAAGCTTAAACGAATACGAAAACTCATCTTACGGAGCAACGAGGTATGGGAGAAACTTGCCGGGCCACCACCGTCCCTCGCAACCCGCAATCCTTCGATTACAGAGGAGGCATCGCACAAGAGGTGAGTGACATTTACAATACAGACGACACTTCTTACTATATAACCGTATGCGGTACGCGTTTGATTCACAGCCAGTTCGCGGCACATTAACCGACAAAATTTATCGATCCACGCTTTCCAGTAAATGTTACACCGGCACGGCAGCGAATTCTCTGCGATAACAATACGGGGTGTCTCAAAGGTTTCCATATTTACAAAGGCAAAATGTAACTTTATTCACAAAACATTAAAATGTCAACATTAAGATTTGTGTCATTGGATTTGAGGGAGTAAGGCAACGGAACACGCGGGCAATCTGCCAACGGGTTAACTCCTATTGGACTTCTAAACAGAATCCAGTTTCCACATAGGATGTCAGACACAGTAAGAAAACCCAGAACTCTGCACGGCAGCCGGTCCATCGGCGGGGCAAGAACCACCGAGCCTTAGACGGTTTTATTTCTTGGGCAACCGGCGGGCTCGATTCGCGTTGCCTTAGGGGAGACATTTGGGAGACCCCGTAGATTAAAGTGTAGGTTTATCACTAAACGTTTAAGAAGACAATTGTAATTGATTTAGTTTTTTTATACATATATCATTTATTTAAAAAATTAGATTTTAAAGATTTTTATAACAAACAAAATAATAATAATAATAGATGACCATTTTTTATTATTTGGAATATTTACAAGCATGATTTTTTAGAGTTTTTCACAACAACTGCATACAGTAAATAAAGAACAACATAAAAAAGAAAAAGCACTAACCGTTTCGTGGTCTCGCCAGTAGTGCGACGATTCTCACCGACAGTTTTTATTTTCTTTTATTTATTTATTGTGTACAGGTTATACCAAAACACAAACGGCCAGGATATATTCTCTGACGTAATAAAATAGTTCGACGTAACGTGCAAAAAAACGATATCGACGCAACACGTATCGATATAAATTCCAACATCCACAGTTTTATTTAATATTTTTTTTTTTCCTCTGCAATATACAGTAGCTAGTGTATTACAAATATACATTTATTTTTCTCCCCTTCCCGCCTCGACGCGCCAGCGCGCGCCCGGAGCCGGTTAGTCCTATTTACAATAAAAATATTTCCGAAACGGTAAATTTCTCTTTTCAAACGTTTTAATATATAAGATTTTCTATAAGTGTTAAAACGATTTTCGGTACTAAGCCCTAAATGCTCCCAAAATTTGAGATCCAAAAAAAGAAACACGACCCGCGCGCTGCGACCACGCGCGCGCGCATCAGGTACCTGCGGAATTACCGATGTTTTTAGTAGTGTCTTAAGTTCGAGACCCAACTAGGAACGCGGTCTCCGGTAAATACGAGTCAACAATTTGCTTTCGTGATCACAGACCGATAAATATCAAACACCTCCCTCGTCACTACCATTTTTTTCTTTTTGAATTTTTTTTTGTAACGCCGTCTAGCGGAAACCGAGGGCTACTTTGTTTCTTCGAACAATTAAAAAAAAAAGAAGAAAAAACGTCTTAAATAACCGGTTTCCTTCGACCGGAAATTGTGCTTTTAAGGCATCGAAAAGATCACTTTTCGGAGATTTTTTTTAGTCCTTTTACCGACAAAAATATTGATACATATCACACAAATGCAAGGCTGCGAAAGTACCACACGGCGGAGCAGAGACTTCCGAGTCTCTGCGGGGTGCTTTCTAGAAGACAGAACTTGGAAGTTTTTCTTTCTTTCTTCTCTGTCGTCGTCGATTCGAAAGTTCTCGCATCGAGAGAGAATATGAGAGAGAGTCAACAACGTGTTTTTAGTACGTGAAAAAATAAATATCTTCGATATAATACGCTGGGCGCTCCGTCCGGTCGGAACGCGAATTAAGTGGATTACTTTTTTTTTTTTAACAAACTAGTCCTTTATGTAAATATATAAAAAATATAGAACGGGCCATCTGTTTCTTCTTCTTCCTTCCGACCATTTCGAGATCTCGCACTCCGTCCCCTTTTCGGATGGCGGGGAAAAGTGGATATCATGTTCCCGTGCAGTCTATTTCCACGATGTCTTTCGGCACGTCCACGAACTGGTACACCAACCTCTGTCCGTCCACCTTGGCCAGGATGCCCCTCTGATAGTAGTACCTGCGCACAGAGAATTTCCGGGTTAGTACCCAGCGGATTCGAATGGCACTTCCGGCGCCACGCGCACACCACCCACCTGAGTGCTCTTCCCATCGTTTCGTAGTTCATGTCCGGTTTGTTCTTGTGAAGACCCCACAGGCGCGAGACGGCTTTGGAGTCGACCAGCTTGAAGATACCCTTCTCCCTGTGGGTCCACTTGATGTAGCGCGGACAGTACTCCTTGTCTTGTAGCAGTTTCAGAAGAAATTCCCACAGGTAAGTCGTGGTACCTGCCAGGTAACGAGAGAAAACTTAACGGAAAAGAACGATGGCTTAAAAGGAAAGCCTAGAGGAGGGGGGAAGTTACCTTCTCTGCTCTTCCTCTTCACCGCCGTCGGCGTACCTCCGTCCGAGATTCTGGGTTTTCTCCCTGTCGACGGGTAAAATCCGTTAATTATCAGGTAAAAAAATCGTCTACGTCACTAAATAAGATAGAGTAAAAATTGCGTGCAATCACCTTTCTTCTTGGCTCTGGACTGAAAGGACAAGTCTTCGGCGTAACAGGACAGATCGTCCTCGCAGTCGTCGGGGCCCAGACCGTGCGCGGCCGTGATGACCGACGTGGGGATGGACGACGGAGACTGCAACCCCGGAGACACCGAAAAGGGGGAGGAGGGAGAGTGAGCGAGGGCCAGAGGGAGCAGTCCCGGGTAGTTTTTGGAGTGCTGAGGCGAAAGTCCGGCCGTCTGTCCGCCCGGATACTGAGGTCTGGAGGACGGAGGGGGCAGGTGAGAGACCAGGTGATGCGGAGGAGGAGGCGACTGAACGGAGGGATGGTGGTGCTGGGAGGGACCCATGCCGTTCTGCGATTTGGACGACACCAGGTAGGGAAGTTGGCCCGGCCGAAAATGGTTCTTGGCTCCGTACATGTGGTGGATGTCTGCATCTGAAATAATATCACGTGTAATTACGCACCGGTCAAAAAACCATTATTACGATTAAAAAAAATAATGATGATAATAGTGGTAATAATTACGATATAATAAAAGTTATTTTTAGCCTTCTCCATAAATGCGCACGCGAAGACGGGGAGAAAGCAGACGACTAAATCTGTCTGGACCGAGTTCATAGCACCCGTCGCTTAGCAACCGAGACCTTGACGGCGGAATTCGACCAGATGCTATCCGCCGTTCTATTGGATCGGCCGGTGACGTAGAGGACGTTCTCGCGAGACGTAATCGAACTGACGAGACCGTCCGTCAAACTTATAAAAATCGAATAGTTAAAAAATAAAATAAAATAAATATTACGTAAAGTCTCCGCTCGGCGCCTCCAGATGGCGCCCGGCTCGGAACGGGCCGCTGGCCGCACCGGAGTAACGGTAACCTTGGGAAGTGTATTGACACGGCGGCTGGCGTGCCAGGTGTACAGGTGGATCACGTGACCCGGAGAGGAAGTACCACATCCGGGAACTTACCGTTACACCCCCCTCGGTCCAAACTCGTCCCGCTTACCAGTTTATCTACTTTTTACCCTTCGCTCGTCGTCCGCGACGACTACGACGACGACTTTCCCTCTTCGCGTGCCGATTATTTAATGAATTAAAGAATGATTTAAGTGAAAGAAAAAACAAGTAAAATTTCCACACCGAGTATTCGGTCGTGTTTGAACAGGTTGCGCGAGACTCGCGCATCGCAGACGAGTCTCCACGACGACGTCCTTGAAAAATGGCGATCGATTGGAAGAGATCGCTGACCGCCTCATTCAATCCGATCGGAAGGTCAAAGCAAGAACGAATCCTTTAGGAATCGCGACTACGTAACGTTTATTTTTAAATTCTCGATAATGCGACGGCGAATGCCAAACGAGATAATTTCTTTTTTTTTTTTTTAATCGAGTCGACGACCCTGGTTGAAGGATGACAGGTATATTATGGGTGGAGCGCCACCGTATTTGCGCACCTCCGTTAAATACGTGACGACGGCGGCCCTTCCCCTTTATATAATACGCCGCAGATACATAATACGTGGCAGAAGTCGAACTCGTGTTAAGTTTATAAACACAACCTCCTCCCGTTTTGAATTATCGAAGTTGCGACACAAAAGCCGATAAACGCGCTAAAATGTAGGTCAGCTATGTCGTTATGCGGCTATTGTCGAAATTTATAAAACTCGTTTACTTGTCGCCGTGGAAACGGATCTTTCCAAAAAACAATCGTTTGGCTATTATTTTTTGTTTGTTATGACAGATTATTTCGTAAACGAGGGAAATATAGCCCAAAACTCGCGCATATTTTTCGTAAATAACGAGTTTTTGGGCGATTTCTAACTACACAATACCAAATTATTTAGTTTCTAATTATTAATAGTAGCCAAAAACTAGCCCGATTAATTACGGCGATCGTTTGATTTATTTATTTAGTGACGTGTTTATGTATATAAAATTTTTAAAAATCGCCCAAAAGTAGCTCAAACTTTCCGAATATATAAATTTTTTTTAACGTGCGGATTTTGGGCGATTTAAAAAGAATTTTTTTTTTGTAAATGGCAGTCGCAAAGCGGGCCGATTTCGTTTTTTAAAAGTACCAAAAAGTAAAAGATGCGCGCGGTGCGTGATTTTTAATTTCCAGACGATTTATTCGCGTGGAGCGAGGAGGAAAAAGGCACTCGCCAATCTAGTAAATTATATCTTTACCCAAGCAAAGTACGGGTAGATAAAACTCCCCAACCTGCCGGAAACAAGAGTAGGCGGCGACAAAAAGCTTGCCAATCTAGAAACGCTGAGAGGTGAAGCCGGTGTTTCCAAGAAATCCAAGGGCATCCCGTGTAACACCCCGAAAAGGTGGCTAACCGTTACGTCATCGGCCAGGCACAAAATTGGCAACGTCGTCCCCCGCTTTTGGGAATTTTTCATAACGGTAGAGGAGTCTTGGTAAACGGAAGCCGGTCGCCGCCATCCCAGGTGTTGTCGGAAACGGAGCGAGCCGGGGGCCCGGGCAGGGATGTCCGACCTTGGGTTCCTCGGCCCAGAGGCCTACTGACCTCGTAAAGAGGCGCGTGAGAAATAATCTCGGTCCGGATCGGCCATGCAATTAAAAGAACGCCCGAGATTACCAGCGGCCATTAGAGCGGGGGGGAGAAGGGAAAAGAGAAGACGTCCGAAAGGGAAGCAAAGCGCGCAATTCAGTCAGTCGGCCATCAGTAGCGCTCGGTCGATTGCGTGTTCGGTTCAACGACACGCCGACTTTCCTATCCGCTTTCAAGGTCGGGACCGAGCGCGAGACGCGGCGTCATACGCGATTATCAAAACTTTCCACCAATGGGGAAGCGTCACCTGAAGGCTGGCGCGCGATTCTCGAGATGCGCCCTATATCTGTTTCCGAATCGATCGATAGGCAAGAGGAAGATGAGTTTCTATTCGTGGGGTGATTCTCCGAACAGAGGAAATTGTTTCGTTAGATAGACAATGAGTTTCCTTTCCTCTTCATTCGCTGTTTCCGCCGCTGCGGGCCGCCCGAAGGCAATCCCGCCAAACGGGATTTGGAGATTAATCGGTCCCGCAAGACGCCTAACAAACTACCACCGGAGTTCTCGAAAAAAAACGCTCGAGAAATCCCCGAAAATCTTCCGAAAAAGTCTAAATTATCCCAAAATTCTGAAATATCCCTAGAAAATGACAGCAAGTTTTGTAGGAATTTCCCCGCTCCACCACCAGCTCATTGCCATATCGAAAGGGAATGGCAATTCTACAAGTAAAACGGCGCGCGTCGCCGAGAGAAATCGCGCGATCGCGTCGCCGTCAGATCGAAATCTCTGTCGGACACTCGGCCTTGGTCCAGTAACAATTATCCGAATGCAGAACGCGTAATAGAACCAGTTATTACGCCCGAGCGCATGCGAAGCGACCGTCGCTTTGTATTGTTCAAACCTCGCGGCTATTACGCGTTTCTACGCAACAATAACAACAACAAAAACAAAAAAAAATGGATGCGTAGCGTACGAGTCGTCAACCCGGCAGATTTCGGTTGCTGAAATAACCTGCCAAAAATATCCATTATTTTAAGTCTGGCCCGGCGACCTTGGCCTCCTTTGCGGTGTCAGTGAACTCACCGCCTTTCCGGTAGCTCCGCACAAAAAAAGGAAGGAGGGGTGAAAAATGCCATTACGGCCGGGCATAGCAACGGCTCCGGATGACTGGTCACTTTCGCTGCTGCAAGTGACGCTTGGAAGTCGCGTCGACCAATCACGGGTCGACTTTTCTTTGTCGGCGTTGTTATGGTAACGAAAAGCGCGATACACTGACCCAGAAATATCGATTCCCGCGAAGAGGAACGGTGCCGATGACCTAATTTTCCTCCCCCCTCAGATTCCCTCTCGCGCGCATGCTCGCTAGAAGTTAATTAGTAAACAACTTACGCCATCCGTTATTGTGGGGGTACTGAGTTTGCAGGGAAGGATGCAGACAGTACGACGGATACGACAGACCGGTGGGGCTGGGCGATTCGGGGGTAGGAGGAGGAGGCCCTGAAAAGAAAGGAAGAAAAAAGTTAGCGTCTACCCCCCAAAAAAATAAATAAATAAATAAAATACGAAACTTTCTCCGCCGGTATCTTATCGCTCGATAAATGACGTCAAATACGACACGTTACGTAATCACGTACACGACCAATCGGATTCGTTCGTCTCATATTCGTTAGCAGTGTTGCCAATTTGAATTGAGGAATGTGACGTCATTTACGAGTAGGATAAATTTATCGGCCGTTAATTAATTAATTTATTTTATTTTTTTTTAATTACCAGGCGTCGTTTGCAATCTGGAACGAGATTCGTCGTTACTGACGTGTCCGCTGCTGCTGTCGACGTCGGACACTCCGCTGTCGGCCGGACTGGGGGGTAGAGAACCTACAAGGGGATAGAAATTGGCCGTTAACGCGGTGTTAACGAGTTTATTGAAGATCTTTTCAACGATTCCTTTACCGGTGCTGCTTCCGCTATAGGAAACGGGCGGTGTGGTGATCGAGTGTAAAGAATATTGCAGATGATGGGGTACTTCCTGAAGAATGTTTTGAAGAAGCGTTTTCGAATCCCTGCTGGCTTGAAGTCCCGAAGGGATGTGTCGGCTTCTCTCTCGAGATTCTATTCGTGCGTCCCCTCTTCCGTCAACTGAAAATAGCCCAATTTGTACTATTTTTAATACAAAATCGATGGCTGTAAACACAGTTCCCGAAAGAAAAATATAAATATTACGCCGCCATTTTGTTTTTCTTTTCAGTTTTAATGGCATCGGAGCCATGCCATTAAAGAACGGAGGAGTTTACCGCCAAGAAAAGTAAAAAAATAACAACAAAAACAACAAAAAAAAAATACTATTTTTAGAGTCGATTTTGTAACCGCACGAACCGAAAACAAACTTACAAATTAAAGTATGCAGTGACGCAAACAATAAAAATTCGCAGATACGTCCGTGACCCAAATGGCGGTCATCTGACGGATTCTTAGGAAAATGCCACAGTCAAGGTAACCAGGAGGAAGAAAAAAAAAATGCAGCAGCTCAGATAAAAACGGGATTAATCGAGTTTAAGAAGCACTCCCCCCCACCCGTCGATCGGGGAGGAAAGCGTTATTCTTTATTATTATTATTACGTCCGCGATGGTTATTTTTCCATTTTTCGAGAGTCAAAACACGCATCAATCGATTTGACCATATCGAGTGCGTTTCGAGTATAACGTTTCCTCAAAAGCCACGAGTCCATCGAATCGAAAGGAGGTCTCGTGGACATATGGGTCAGTGAAAGCTACCGACGTAACACAACAGTCGAGACAGTTGAATAATGGTTGCTCGAGTGTAGAGGAGGGGGATGACAATATCGGGGTCAAGGCAGGGAACAAATAAACCCAATGGCAATGCCACGGTGTGAGGCGCGCGCATCCCCGTTCCACCAATCAGCACGGATTACACAGACAGTCAAGGCTAGGTAGAAGCTCGACTCAGAGGGTGAACGGCCGTACAATGCTCAAGGTTAGATTATTTACCGAGCAACTTCTTATTTGTCCGCTATTCGAGGACATTTCAATCTGTGCTGCTGCTGCTTTTTTTAGATTTGCCTGAAATTTACGCTTCGTTTCGGCATTCGTCCCCCCTAACTCACGCTTCCTTCCCCCACAGAAAGTCGTAGTACCTGCAGAAATTTTATTTACGGTGACATTTTCGAGATGTTTTCGCCCTATCGGGACACTTGTTTATCAATACGATTGCCATTAATAAATCCTCCTCCTCCTCTTCTTCCTCCCGGTCGCAATTAAGGGTCGTAAAAGCATTCGGCCGTTCCCAGTGTTGCGCAATTGTTACGCAACCGAGTTTGTGTGCTGCCGATGTTTATAAAAAAAAAAAGAAAAAAAAAAGTGAAGAAGTGTCCTCACCCCCAGCGGGAGATGGCCACTGACGAGGAAGGAAGTGTAGTTACCAAGCTTGCAGAAAGAGAGAGAAGTCGTGTGTGGTAGAGCATAGCAGAGACGTGCTTCGAATGCACACTTCGGTCTAGGTAAGTGGCACAGATTATACTTGTATGTATAATCTGTGGTAAGTAGGACAGTGAGGTGAGGGGGAGGGGGCCTCAGAACAGAGAAAGTCTTCCACGCACAGGCAGAAAAAAAAACGCTAATAAATAAAATAAAGCGGAGGAGCAACATTTTTTTATGTGACGCCGCTACATAATTGAGAAAAACAGTGATAAAAAAAAATAATAATAATAAAAGTAATTGTAACACGATAAGCTGCCAGATAAAACGTATCAGTGTTTTAATTATCGAATTTTTGGTAATGTTTTTTTTTTCTCTCTAGTGTTTACTCCTGCGCCGAAAATTGCTGATGAAAATTGCACTTGAAGTAGGTCAGATTTATTGGAGAAAGTTGGATGCCTTTTTTTTTTCTTTCTTTCTTTCTCTCTCCCCTTCTCTCTCTTGTAAGATTAGAATCTTGCATAACTTTTTCACTACAAAAATATCGTCGCATGCCCCCGAATTTTTGCCGAAAACGGTAATTTAATTCCTCTCTAATTCGTTCCGTTCTTACGTAATTGTTTCCTACACTTACGACAACAATGAAGCGAGTACAGAAGTCCTCCTCCTCCCCCTCTCTGTAAATCTACGCGATTTACAATATGACGTATCGAGTTACAACTTCCTAAAATATGACTCCTGTACGCGGCAAATGCGTACAGATTAATGTACTTTTTGAAAATTTTTTCGGCGTGTTTCGTAACCGGGAGCGATACGCGTAAGGGGGGAGGGCAAAATTTCAGTTCGATCGAAAAGCGATCATCCCGGATGTGGCTGTTAGGAGAGGGTCAATGATGACAGAGGCAGATCTAGGACGAATTTGGCGTCCTAGATCTGCCACTTTCACTCTTTCCCAAACGGGACCTCCTAGATACTCCGGAGGGACAATTTGGGGTGCGATGTGACCCACTTTCTCCACTTTCGCTCTCGTATGTCGAATGCTGGCGGATGGTTGCACAATCGGACGGGTCTCTTAGGCGTTAATGGTTGACCGAACGCGTAAACGTTTTTTTTAGAATAAAAACAAATAAAAAAGAGACTTCCTAAAACGGTTAGCGCCGGTGGATAATTTCAAATGTTTCGAGTGCTTTCCTGAGGGGGGAGAGTTCGGGGAATCGGAACGTTTTGACGTTCCGCAAAACTACAATCCGAAGTTTTCAGAGGGGGGTGCGAAGAGGAAACGTCTCCAGAATTAGAATTAAAGTGGCTAACACAATGGAGCCGAATATAACGGAAGTGTGGGAGAGAGACCGGCTGTTCCAGGTACCGCTACCGGAGAGGGAGGAAGGTTAAAAGAAGTAAAAAAAAGAAAGAAAAAAAAGGCTGCCGTCTTTCTCCCAGAGAGAGAGCTTCAGACGAGGGGGCGGGAACACAGAACAGACTGCTGTAGGTTAGTGGGACCACAGCAGCTGTCGTTTTTGTCAGAACTCCGTTGGGAGAGGGTTAGACTGGCAATGGGGATTTCTAGGGAAGGAAATGACAAATGGCCTCCCCACTTACCCTATTCACGGGCCAGGAGTAGCCACCTCCCCCCGCGGGCAGATGTAGAAATTTAAACCACAAAACTCCTTCTACCAGCTGTTTAGCAAGCTACCTCTTTTTTCTTACAAGCGGCTCCCGATAGGGAATTACCGTTATCTGTCAAAACAGGACGTATACGATAGGGATTACTTAAGTAACCCAGGTAGCTTGGACTATAGGAACGTTGGATGCGGCATCTCCGGGCGGAAACACGCGAGAAAGAGCGCGGAAAGGTTTGAAAAAAAAAATGGCCACGTATCGAGGAAAGAACAAATAAAAAAGATGGCACATTTGGCCATTCCGCAGCGGCTACCATTTCCTATCCGTAATTATACCGAATGAATGGCCAGAATGAAAGGGAAAGAGGCTCTTGACCTCAACCCCGCCGGACATTTAGTGGGGTAAGAGAGCGGAAGGAACCAGCTGTCGTTTTCTTTCTCCCCCCACCCACAGAATTTTTACCGTTACTGCAGGTAGCCCGGGCCAACACGTGTAAGGGGGGAATTTTAATTCACTTCCAGTCCTCCAGGAGGCGATGGCCGCTCTTCCTTTGCAAATTCCCTCACCGTAATAAATCCTCCTTGCAAGATGGCTGTTGCTATCTGCGATCGACGATATCGATCGCCGTACACGTGTCTTTCGCGAGGTGGTCGACCCTGATCGCGTAAAAGTCATCCCTTACAGAAGCTACATTTTCTATTTCTGTCCGTCCTCAATGACGAGCGACTTTTTCTGTTTTTTTCGACTCCTCCACCAAGCGATTTTCGATCCCATTGAGAAAACCACCGGCCTGACTTTTGTTTTTTTTTCTTTTATAAATGTATTGTTTCTATAAATACATACACACGTAAACAAAACAGTTTCAAGTTCGTCGTGTACGTAATCTCTTAGATCATCTGGATGATAAGTGACCTAAATCGGCACCGATCATTTCACTAGAGAGGGATGATCTAGGTCAACTAGGCACGGAACTTTTCCTACTCTTTAATTAATCATTCTTTCACAGATGTAAACTTAAAACATCTGTTCGGGAGATAAACAAAAATGTCCCATCTCCGTGCGAAAAGAATAAAATCAAATGGATACGAACAAAGGACCCGAATTTAACCCACGCTTCCATTAATGTAAATGTCTTCCGAAACGGAAATAAAACTCGAGCTTCCTCCCGTCTTCTTCATTAGAGAAAAGAATAATAATAATAATAATAAAAAGAAAGAAAGAGGGAAAGGCGAAACTTTTCTTTAATCATCTCGCAGGAAACGCACCTTATACTTTCCAACATAAAAGCAATTTCCTGAGTTGCAAGCGTTTCTCCTTGGCCTTTAGCCGCACGCGCAGCTCGAACAGACTACTATGGCCTTGAGCCACTAAGCCAACGACCTAGCGAAGGTTAGAAAGATGGCGGACGACATCCAACTGCATTCCCCGTTACGTCGGCACACACACACACGATGGCAACTTTTCAAACCCCGTGGCGCGGCTCGCTTTCGATATTAAAGCGAAAGAGGGGGGCCGACATCTGGAGGGCGGAGGGGTGAAAGATCGGGAGGTGTTGTCGTCCGAGCGCGACCTCCTTTACCAACTGGATCGAAGGAGCGACAAAGAAAAGGACACCCCTTATCCCTCCGTCTCCGTCAGAAGTGGGTCAGGATGGCAGCTTTTTTTTTTTTTTTATCTTTTCTTTTCGGGGTGACGCAAGATACCCCGCGGGTTAAGGAGCTCAAAAGAGAGTAAAAGGATTCGAAGGGGAAAACCAGACACGCGTTGGGGGCATTTTTTCTCTCTCGCTCTCTCTGTACACTCTCTCCGTTGCCCCAACGGTATTTAGGACGGGAGCGAAAGGTGACTCAGAGGAAGAGGGATATAAAAATACAGAACCCGACAGAAATCGAACCCGATATCGAACAAACAAAAAATAATAATAATAATAATCGAAGACGGCACTTAATTACGTCACTAGAACGATACACTAAACTAGAATTGACTTTCCACGCCGCACGCTAGTCACGTGCAGTGAAAGTCTTCCGACTGGGTCATGAGACCATCCCGACTCAACACAAGTAAAAAAGAAATTAGGAAAAAAA